AATAGTGTTTTCTTCTGTGTTTAAACCTTTTCTTGAGTTCATATAATAGTGGTCTTATACAATATTTGTCAGAGAAGACAAATTTTTAATAAGTATTTACTGACTGAAGAGGAAATCGGGCATGCGTTGATGGCTTTAAAAACGGGCATGTGTTCACTTTAGGATTGGTGCTTGGTTTAATATCTTTGGTCATTTCTAGGAATGAAACACCTGTGTTTAATGAGTTGACACTATATGTTTTTTGAGAAATATTCTAGGAGCATTTGAAAAGAATGTGTTCTTGCTTCTAACATAGAGTGTTTGATGATTATATATTCATATCTTTTTCATTCTCATTTATTCTTGATATGTAAAAAAATTAGAGAAAAGAATGTTAATGTCTCTGATTGGTGTGTGTTTGGGTTGGGACTTTTCTGTATTCATTTTCCCTTATTATAGTTCTAAAAGTTTTTCCACTAAGAATGCTGTGTTTTTAGCAGAGTTTTTTGACTGGATTATATCTTTTATCAGTTTAAGATGACCTTTTCCTCAATTTTAAAGTTTTTGTCTTAAATTTTCTTTAATTGATATTAATATTTGTTTGCTTAATAGATTTTTTGCCCAATGTTTCAGTCTCATTTTGTTTTAAGTGTGTGTCTTATGAATACCATATAGTTAGATTTTGTTTAATGACCCAATCTGAGTTTTTTCTTCCTTTAGAAGTTTTTGTTTTTAACATTATGGGAATATCACATTTTCTTTAAAAATATTCAAACATATTGTATAAAACAAATAGTAAAGGTTCTCTGATGATACCTTTCTCATTTCCCCTCTTTCCAAACTCGTTTGCTACGGGTAACAACTCTTAACACACTTTGTGTATCAGTCCCATCCTCATTCTGGGCATTTACAAATATATACACGCACCCACGCACCACACACACACATACACACACACACACACACACACACACTTTAAAACAAAAATAAGATAACATTATATGATGTTCTGAAGTGTTTTTACCAACAGCATAGCACAGAGATCCTTCGTGTCATTGTATGAAAATCTACTTCATTTCAATACAAACAAAAAAAAACCAAACTCATTGCCATTGAGTTGACTTCAACTCTTAGTGACCCTATAGGACAGAGTAGAACCGCCCCATGGGGTTTCTGAGGAGCAGCTGGTGGATTCAAACTGTCGACCTTTTTTGGTTAGCAGCCAAATGCTTAACCACTGCGCCATCAGGGCAGATTACATGCCTAGGAATGGAATTGGTGGGTCATATGGTAATTGTATGCCTAACTTTTTCAGGAACCTCTAAACTCTTTTCCACAGGGCTGCACCATTTTACAGTCCCACCAGCAATGGATGAGAGTTCCTGTTTCTCCATATCCTTACCAACACTTGTTATTTTCTGTTTTTCTCACATCCTTGCCAACGTTTGTTATTTTTCATTCTTTTGGTCTTAGCTATTCTAGTGAGTGTAAAGTGATACTCATGTGGTTTTGATTTGTATCTCCCTAATGACTGGTAAAGCAGCCCTAGTCGTGCATGGTTAAAGCACTTGGCTGATAATCTGAAGGTGAGTGATTCGAACCCACCAGCTACTGCCACCACCCGCTCCGTGGAAGAAAAACCTGGCAATCTGCTACTGTGAAGATTACAACCTAGGAAACGCTATAGGGCAGTTGTACTCTGTCATATGGGGTTGCTATGAGTGAGAATTGACTTGATGGCACACAACAACAATGACAAATGATGTTGAGCATCTTTTCATGTGCTTATTGACCATTGTATATCTTCTTTGGAGATATATCCAAGTTCTTTGCCCATTTTTTGATTGGGTTGTTTGTCTTTTTGTTGTTTAGTTGTAGGAGTTCTTTGTATATTCTGAGTATTAACCCCTTAGCAGATATATGGTTTCCAAATATTTTCTCCCATTCTGTAGGTTGTCTCTTCACTTTATCGATAAAGTCCTTTGATGCACAAAAATTATAATTTCTGAAGTCCAATTTATCTGTTTTATCTTTTGTTGCATGTCCTTTTGGTGTCATATCTAAGAATCCATTGTCAAAAACTAGGTCCTGAAGTGTTATCCCTATGTTTTCTGCTAAGAGTTTTATGGTTTCAGTTCTTGTATTTAGATAATTGATCCATTTTGAGTTAATTTTCATATAAGGTGTGAGGTATACGTCTAACTTCATTCTTTTGTATGTGGAGATCCAGTTGTCCCAGCAGTATTTATTGAAGAGACTGTTCTTTCCCCATTGAATGGACTTACCACCCTTGTCGAAAATCAGTTGATCACAGATGTATGGATTTCATTGGTCTGTCCTTATACCAGTACCACACTGTTTTGATTCCTGTAGCTTTATAGTAGTACATTTTGAAATTGGGAAGTGTGAATTCTCCTACTTTGTTCTTCTTTTTTAAGATTGTTTTGGTCCCTTGCATTCCATTTGAATTTTAGGATTAGTTTTTCCATTTCTGCAAAAAAAGGCTGTTGGAATTTTGGTAAGGATTGTGTTGAATCTATAGATCACTTTGGATAGTATTGACATCTTAACAATATTAAGTCTTCCATTCCATGGTCATGGGAGGCTTTGATTTTTATTGGCACAATTTATTAACATTTCATCCTATTTCTGCGATCTTATTTAATGTTGTTTTTAAATGCTTCTTAGATATTTCCTACTTTACCTCACTTACTGATATTGAACAAGGTTTGTGTGCGTGTGTCTGTGTGTGTATGAGAGAGGGAGAGATAGATAAATTTGACAGTTATACGTCTTTTCTTCTGTTGTGCTACTTGTTTTCTTAATGGCAATAAAAACACATTAACATTTTTTTTTTTTTACCAATGTCAAGAATAAAAATATTATGTACTGTTTTTCCCCATGTAGGATGCAACACTATTACTTCCAAAACCCCATACCCCATTTTTTTGTTGGAAAAATATTGGCTTTAAACTCCAGGTTATTATTTATTTATTTAGATAGATAGATAGATTTTTAAGGTCTTTTGTTTTTCTGTATTTTATTAAGTTTCCTGACTATGCCAACAACATGTATGTACCAGAAGGATAATAAAGATAATAAATACTCAGTATGTGTTCCTATACTGACACACCTCGAACCAAACTGACAACTGATTAAATGAAACATGACACATTTTTATAGCCCTAGCCTTGTATCTGTTAGTGTGATCTAGGAGTCTAACACTTGAGTTTTTATAAGGTAGGTTGGATATCCTTTCTGGCAATTTCTCCATCTAAGGCTGGACTATGGACACTTGAGTAGGCTAAGAATTTGGTACTACTTCAGACCTACATTTTTAATATATTTGTTCATTAATTTAGAGAAGAAGCTAAATATTGAGTGAGAAAAATATGGAAAAGAAGAACTCTTAAGCTTCTTTTTTTATTGTTCCAGGTAGTTTAGCTTTGACTCCAAACTTGCATCTTGAAATCAGTAAACCAGAAATCCTGCAGTTAACTTCCACCTGCCTTCCCTGATGGGTGGCTGTTAGTGTTGTTGATGGTGAGGGTAATGTTTGAGAGGATGATCTTACTGTCCCACTCCAAGCAGTTTATCAGCATATTCCTTCCAGTTTGGTTCTACCCATCCCACAAGCAGAACACCCTTTCCCACTGAAGACTTGCTCCCTAAGGCAAATCTGCAGGATATGAACACATTTCATCTTATTTCTGTCATTGAATGCTTCAGGGGTCTCCTGTATATCAAGTATTAAAAGAAAAGTCTCCTTTTAGTTGAATAGGAAAGCTCTTGGTAAATATCTCCTCTAAAAACCTATGTATATGTGAAAAGAGTATTTTGGATTCTATATCCAGGAGAACTGGGTGGCTGGAGGACAGGTAAAGAGTGACTTTTTACTGTAGAGTCTTAACGTACTTTTTGAATTTTTAATGATATGAATGTATTTCTTATTTGAAAATTAATTTAAAATTATTGGAGGAAACAGATTTTGGGGAACCTCTGACTCTAAGTGCAATTCTGGCCAAACCCATGCACTTTTAGAATAGTAAAGACATCTATCAATGTCTCATTTTAGGTTTGTTCTCTAATTGTTCTCTATTTCATTATAGCATTTAAATATTCTTATTTTGTGTATTTGATTACCTAGTAAAATGTAAAAATAGCACTCAATAATTTTTTAAAAAAGGCCAGTGTTCTCTTTTCTAACTTATCAGAAAAGAGCAATTTTCACAAAGATGTCAATTTTCCAGAAAACTGAAAAATTTCTAAGTTTTAGTTGATTCCTTTAGGTTTTTAGTTTAATATTACTCTCAGTAATGATACCTTTTATCTCTCTTGAAGTGTTTAACACTCATTTCTGTTTCATATCTCATTTCATGAACTAAAATTTCTAGAACCATGTAAGATCATAATGATTCCTTTTTAATAGTGATTTTAATGGAAACGCCTCTGTTATTTCATCATTAATCATGAACCTAGAAGATAGGTTTCATCTCATCAGTAAAGTTTCTTTTTATTCCTATTTTTGAAAGAATTGTAACATTAAAACAAGTTTCAAATTTACCAAATGCCCTTTGATATCTGTTGTTATAATAACAAGGTTTTAATATTTAACCCATTTACGTGAGGTATTATAGCAATAGATTTCCTGTTATTGAAGCCTCCTTATAGTCCTAGAATCAACTGTATCTGGTTACTTTTGATTAAAAAAAAAAAAAATCCATTGTGAATATTTTACTTAGGATCTTCACATGTATTTTCATAAGAAAGAATAGATTGTAGTTTTATCTTTGTTTTTGGGCTTTATGTCATCTCGTCGTTTTTGATCATTAGTTCTGTGTCAATTAATTTCATTTATTTTTCTGTGTTTTCAAAATATAGTATGGGAATTAGCCATTCCTTGGAAGTTTGCAAGAATTCACCAATAAAATACTCGGTGCCAAGATCTTTTTTCTGGATGCTTCGTTAGTAATGTGTTCAATTTTTCCTTACTCATTAGGTCACTTTTTTTTTTTTTCCAGATCTGTAGAAACTTCCAGTGTGTAAATGCTTCTGTTCTGAATTATGACTGTGATATTCAGAAAAAGTGTCATGGACATGGGGTAGGTAATAGTCTCCTTTGGTTTGTTCATGGAAGTAGTGCTGAATAATCAGAGTTCCCAGTGAGGATTAGGTGAGACTTTCCACAATTTTTAGATTTCTAGGTATTGGAGAATTTAGATATTCAATAAAATTTTCATTCTTAAAAAGAATGTCTATGAATTTAATCCTTTTTCTTGGTTTCCATTCTTGAATTGATGATACAGAGCAACATTCACAATTAACAAAAGTGGTATTTTGATTGTTTTGAAGGTATGTAATAGCAATAAGAATTGTCACTGTGAAAATGGCTGGGCTCCCCCAAATTGTGAGACTAAAGGATACGGAGGAAGTGTGGACAGTGGACCTACATACAATGGCAAGTAATATAGAAGAAAATAAGTGTGATCTCCCAGTGGCCCAAGTCAGAAACTGGCCATCCTCACGCCTCTACTTCACTTTTCACATCAGTTGAACATTAAATTACATTGATTCTGCCTCTTAAATCCCTTACCAGTGTTTCCATTTTTTTTCATTCCCATTTATTACCTTCAATTTCTTGCCTAAATTTATCTAAATAGCCTCTTAATAAGGTTTCTTGTTTCCCTTCTTGCTTCCTATAGTCCACATTGCACACACATTACAGAGTTTAGTGTTTCCCTTCAAGAATTCAGTGCTGGTAATGCCAGTCTCCAGCTTTAAATTCGGTGATTCATTATTGCTAGTAGAATGCAATCCAGAGATCCTTAATGTGGCTTATGAGGCGCTGCATGACTTGCCCCTTACTTGCTTTTCCAGCCTCATTTCACTGTGTTTTAAGACATGTTGTAACTTCTTTAATTCCCCCTGACAGGCTGTTCTGTCTCGCCTCTGGGCCTTTGGGCCATCTTATTTGCACGTGCTTGGCCTCGGCTAATTGCTCCTTAGGTTTTCTTTTATATGTCCTTTCCTCTAGGAAGTTTTCTCTGATGGCCTAAGTATGAATTAATATGCCCCTTCTATTTGTTCTCCTAGTACTGTTAGCACTATCATATACTATAGTAATTACCTATTTACTTATTTTTATTCCCTGATAGGCTTTGAGCTCCTTGTTTTCCAGTATATTCCTAGTGAGAACATATGCTTTCTTTCTCCTGGGTAAATACTAGATGGAATGACTGGGTCATATAGTAAGTGCATGTTTAACTTTTTAAGAAAATGCCAAACTGTTTCCAAGAGAAGTTGTACCATTTTGCATTTTCACCAGTTTTATATGAGGGTTCTAGTTTCTCCACGTCCTCACCAATACTTGATGTGGCCAGTCTTTTAAATTTTAGCCATTCTAAGTAAGTGTGCAGTGGTACTTCGTTGTGGTTTTAATTTGCATTTATCTAATGACTGATAATATTGAGCATCTTTTCATGTGCTTACTTATCATCCATATATCTTCTTTGGTGACATATTTGTTTAAATCTCTTGCCCATTTTAAATTGGGTTATTTGTCTCATTATTGAGCTTTGAGAGTTCTTTATATGTTCTAGATACAAGTCCTTTATTAGATATGTGTATTTTTCTTACTTTGCTTACTTGGGGTTTCATTTACTCTTCCTTTTCTAGTTTCTTAAGGTGGAAGATAAGATCACTGATTTGAAATCTTTAATATAGGCATTTTAGTCCTATAAACTTTTATCTAGATGTTGTCTGCTGTCTTCGGGGCATTCAGTAGTTATTTTTCTTGTTTATGGATTGTAGATTTGTTTGTTTCGTCCTTTTTTTTTTTTTTTTTTTTTCATCCCACAAATTGTGGTATGTTGTTATAAAGAAATTAAGTTTACCTAAAAAATTTGGTCTTTGTCCTTGGTTCCTGAGAGATAACCTCTAAAATCTTGGGAATTTCCTAAGTGATTGAGGTGTCTTTTATCTATAAGGCCTCTAACTCACACCTGAGGGTTTATGCTAATTAAGTGACTCTTAAGTGAGGGCTGGCTAGGCCAGAAAGACCCACTGCATGATATCAACCCAACCTCAGAGGAGGAGAGCTGGAAGATGATTCAATCAATGATGCCTATGTAATGAAGCCCCAGTACAGGCTCTGGACATGAAAGTTCCATGAGCTCCCTTGTTCGCAAAAGACATTGGTTCTCGGGAGGGCGATGTGCCCTTTTTGGGACACAAAAACTCTGCATTGGGGACCTTCCCTCCCAGACCTCACCTCTCTTCTTTATGCTAGTCCAGATTTATATCCTTTATAATAAAACTGTAATTGTAAATACAGCACTTCCTGAATTCTGTGAGTTTTAGCAAATTACTGAATCTGAGGGAGTTGTGGGAGCCAGCAGGTCAGAAGTGAGGGGGACCTGGGTACCCCCAGGGTTATGGCTGGCATCCTGATGGAGTATGAAGAAACCCCCAATTTGTACCCAGCAGGTCAGAAGTGAGGGTGTTGTGAGGACCCCAATTTTGTGGCTGAGGTCTGAAGTCTTGGCACACTTGGCAGTCTGGCAGACTGTGCCCTTCGATTTGTGAGGTTTAACCTAGCTCTGCCAATAACAAATTCTTTCAGCTTCATATGTCTGAAAAAGTCTTTGTTTTGCCTTCCTTTCTGAAAGTTAATTTAACTGCTTAAAGAATTCTAGGGTAACGGTTTTTTTCTTTCTTTTTTTCCCTTTTACTTCTTCAGAGATGTTGCTACATTGCCTTCTGGCTTGCATTCTTTTCCCTGAGAGATCTGCTGTTGTATTTTTCTTTGGTCTTCTTTATGAAATGTATCTTTTCCACCCTTCAGTTGCTTTAAGATTTTCTCTTTATCACTGGTTTTAGGCAGTTGATTATAATTTGCCTTGGTGTGCTTGAAATTTTTGAGCTTTTTGGATTTGTGATTTTGGAGTTTTCTTCAAATATGGAAAATTTTCAGCTATTATTTCTTCAAATGTTTTCTTCTGTCTTCCTCTTTCTCTCTTCTTCAGGGACTCCAATTTTATGTTTATTAGGCTAGTTGGAATTTTTTCCACATATCACTGATTCTCGCTGTTTTTAAGGCTTTATGCTCTATATTTAATTTAGAATAGAAATTCCTATTCTTCAGGTGTACTCTTCTGCAATGTCTAATCTACCATTAATTCCATTCAGTGTATTTTTCATCTCAGACATTGTAGTTTTCATTTTAGAAGTTCCATTTGTGTCATTTAAAAATATTTTTTGTGTCTCTACTTAGCATGATGAGTCTTTCCTTCAGCTTCTTGAAGATACAGAATGCAATTATACTAATTGTTTTAATGTCCTAATTCTGTCATCTGTATCATTTCTTGGTCAGTTTTGACTGATTTTTCCTTCTTATTATGAGTCATATTTTCCTGTTTCTTTGCTTTCCTGGTAATTTACTCTAGAGGGGATTTATTTATTCTGCTCAATGCTGCATTAATTAGGAGGTTTTCCACCATGAATAGTAGGAACAGGCACTTTTCTTAGCCCTGTGGGAGCTGCGGGAGTTGTTCTCTTTGATCCTTATGGGTGGTTCTTTTTCTAGTCTTGTGTAGTTTTCTTACATGCACTCATTGATTAGTACTCAGCTGAGTATTTGAGGGGAACCCTATGCAGATCTCCGGAGTCCTCTCTCTGTGCGGCTCTGTCCCCTCCTGTACTTTGCCCAGTGAACTCTAGCTGCCTTAGCCTCTCCAGACTGCCGTCACTGTTTCTTCAACTCAGGGACACAGCTGGCCTCTGTTTGAATTTCCCTACACCTCATCATGGCCTCCAAACTTTCTCTAGGCAGTAAGCTGGGACAATTGTTCTTTATTGCTCTTTGTGGCCTAATGTCCGGTGTCTGGCAAACTGTTCTTTTATATATTTTGTCTGGTTATCTGGTTGTTTTAGCTGGGAGGGTAAATCTGATCCCTGTTACTCCATCTTGGCTAAAAGTAGAAGTCAGCATTATGGATTTTAATGACTGTGTATAATTCTATCTAGTGGATGTGCCATAACTTAAGTGTTTTCTAATTATTTGACATATAGATTGTTTATAAGTTTTTGATATGTACTGTTGACATTGCAGTAGACATCTTATTGCATATGCGTTTTTTCCCAGTTGACTTCTTTTGAAGGATAAATTGCTAGTATGAGATTATTAGGTTGAAGAATATACTCCTTTTTATGGTTCTTGATTAAAAATTCCAAATGAATGATACTTTTGTGTAATGCCACTAACAGTGTAAATGTATCAATTTCAATGTAATCTTGCCAGTGTTGGATGCTTTAATTTAAATTTGTCTCCTCATTGGTAAGTATAAAGTGACATATTAAGCTTGTATTACTTTTTTATATTTTGATGTTTAATTAGGAAGATGTTTCATATAGTTTTATACAACTTTTAGTAGATATTTCTGGTACTTTTCCAAACTTAGTTCTGAGAAAAGTTTTACAGTTTACCACTCCTGTTCTATATCTACTATATTTTTCTCTAAAGAACACGGGACAGAGAAAATTGATGTTAGCTAATAAATTTTAAAAAGTAGTAATTAGACTTAAAATCTAGAAGCCATAAAAAACAAGATTGATGAATTCAGCTACATTAAAAACAAAACAAAGCAACTTCTGCATGGAAACAAGCATTGTACTGTTAGACCAAAGAAATATGGGGAAAATATTTCCAACTCATATCATAGACAAAAGCTTATCTCCCTAATACATAAAGTGCTCCTAGAAACGGAGAAGGAAAAACCAATACCCCAACAGAAAATTAGTCAAAGCACTGATCAGAAAAAGCAATACAAAGTTTTCTTAACTATGAAAAGATACTCATAGTATAAAAAGAGAAATGCAAATTAAAATGATACAAGATAAAATCTTTGAACTACCAGATTGGCAAAAGTATAGAAGTTTGATAACACACTTTGTGAGTGAGGCTGTGGGGAACTCTTTTATATTGTTGATGAGGATGCTAAATGGTAACCTGCACTGTGGAAGACAATTTGACGATATCTTTAAAAAACAAACTGATGAATGCATTTACCCTTTGGGCCATCAATTCCACTTTTGGGAAATGTTTCTTTAGATATATCTGCACCATATGATACAGCATATGTAGTGGGTTATTCGTGATAGAATTTTTTTTTATAATAGCAAAAGATTGGAAAAATACAAGTGTCTGTCAGTAGGCACTGGTTAAATAAAACTGTAGAACATCTTTGCAATGGAATTCTGTATGAATGTATAGAAAATGAGGATGCCTCTATGTATAGTTTGGAAAGATATATAGATAAGTGAAAAAAGTAAGGTGAAGAACAGTGTTTATGGTATGCTACTTTTTGTGTAAGAAAGGTTTGACAGTAAAAATGTACTTTGTTCTCGCTTCTTTTGCATAAAGAAATACTGGAAGGTTATATAAGAAACCAATAAAAGTGAAAAAGTGATTATCGTTGGATAGGCAGAAATGGAATGGACAAGGACAAAGGTGTGAACGAGACTTTGCAGTGTATTCAGTTTATATCAGTGTGATTTTGAACCATGTGAACATATTACTTATTAAAAAAATTAATGTAAAGACATTTAGAATGGCCTAGTATGTTCTAGGTAGTATGAGTTAACATCAAATTTAATGACCTTAAATATAATATTTTTCTTTCTAGAAAAGAATACTTCACTGAGGGATGGACTTCTGGTGTTCTTCTTCCTAATTGTTCCCCTTATTGCATTTGCTGCTTTTGTCTTCATCAAGAGAGATCAGTTACAGAAAAGCTGCTTCAGAAAGAAGAGATCACGAACATCCAAGTACTTAGATTTTTTTCTTTTGAATTCGTATTGAGTAATATAAAGTAGTATCATAGAGGTTGACAATCCTTTAAAAATTAGGTTCTAAGTTCTCTCTCTAATTTTTTGACATGATTGGCAGGGGTTAAAATATAGTGAAGGTTTTTCCCATTAAAAAACTCATTGCCCACTAACTAGATAGTAGGCAAGAATTACCTTAGGTGAAGGGAAGGATAGCACACACTACAGGGGAAGTCAGCACAACTGGATTAAACCAAAGCTAAGAAGTTTCCTGAATACAACCAAACACTTCGAGGGACAGAGTAGCAGGGGCGGGGGTCTGGGGACTATGCTTTCAGGGGACATCTAGGTCAATCGGTATAACAAAGTTTATTAAGAAAACGTTCTACATCCTACTATGGTGAGTGGTCTCTGGGGTCTTCAGAGCTAGCAAGCAGCCATCTAAGATGCATCAATTGGTCCCAATCCACCTGGAGTAAAGGAGAATGAAGAACACCAAAGTCACAAGGAAAGTATTAGCCCAAGAGACAGACAGAGCCACATAAACCAGAGACTGCATCAGCCTGAGACCAGAAGAACTAGACGGGTGCCTAGCTACCACCAATGACCACCTTGACAAGGGAGCACAACAGACAGTCCCTGATGGAGCAGGAGAAAAGTGGGGTGCAGAACTCAAATTCTAGTAAAAAGATCAGACTTAATGGTCTAACCGAGACTGGAAGAACCGCAGAAAGCATGGCCCCTGGACTGTCTGTCAACGCAGAACTAAAACCATTCCCGAGGCCAACTCTTCAGACAAAGATTAGACTGGACTATGGGGCATAAAATGATACTCGTGAAGAGTGTGCTTCTTAGCGCAAGTAGATACATGAGACTAAATGGGCAGCTTCTGTCCGGAGGTGAGATGAGAAGGGAGAGAGGGTCAGGAGCTGGTTGAATGGACATGGTAAATCGGGTGGAAAGGAGGAGTGTGCTGTTACAGTATAGGGAGAGCAATTAGGGTCACATAACAATGTATGTATAAATTTTTGTATGAGAGACTAACTTGAATTGTAAACTTTCACTTAAAGTACAACAATTAAAAAAAAAACAAAACCCATTGCCATTGAGTTGATGCCGACGCATAGTGACCCTATAGGACAGAGTGGAACTGTCCCATAGGGTTTCCAAGGCTATAATCTTTACAGAAGCACACTGCCACATCTTTCCCTCATGGAGCAGCTGGTTGGTGCAAACTGCTGACCTTACAGTTTGTGACTGATTGCTTAACCACTACACCACCAGGGCTCCTTTTAGTGAAGGTCCCTAGGTGATACAAATGGTTTGCACTTGGCTAGTAGCCAAAAGGTTGGCAGTTTGAACCCATCCAGTGGCAACATGGAAGAAAAGGCCTGGTGATCTGCTTCTATAAAGATTATATGGAGCAGTTCTACTCTATAACACAGAGTCCCCATGAGTCGGAATTGACTCAACAGCAAAAGACAACAACAACAACAAAATGTTGTGGTGACTGAGCCACCTCTTATGATGGTGACAGGAAAGGATTATGGTGACCTGCCTGTGTGCTACTGAAAATGGCCCTTAGGGTTCATTTTTCTTGATATCAGTTTCTGATCATGGGAAAAGTAGAACGTTGGTTTATGACTTCTGATTTGGGCTTCCTAATTAGAGATTTGGAGCCCTGGCGGTGTAGTGGTTAAGAGCTCAGCTGCTAACCAAAAGATTGGCAGTTCGAATCCACTAGCAGCTCCTTGGAAAGCCTATGGTACAGTTCTACTCTGTCTTTTAGGATCGCTATGAGTCGGAATCGACTTTACGGCAACTGGTTTGTTTTTTGGGGGGTTTAATTAGAGATTAAGGAGCCCTGGTGGCACAGTGGTTAAGTGCTTGGCTGTTAACTGAAAAGTCAGCGGTTTGAACCTACCAGCTGCCCATGGGAGAAAGATGTGGCAGTCTGCTTCCTGAAAGACTACAACCTTGGAAACCCTGTGGGGCAGTTGTGCCCTGTTCTGTAGGGTCACTATGAGTCAGAACCAACTCGATGGCAATGTTTCGTTGTTGTTGTTGTTAGTGGCTCAATGGTTAAGTACTCGGCTGCCAACCTAAACATTGGTGGTTTGAACCCACCCAGCGTCTCCATGGTAGAAAGTTCTGGCGACCTGCTCCTGTAAAGACTGCAGCCTAGAAAACCCTATGGGGCAGTTCTACTCTGTCACGTGGCATCACTGTGAGTCTAAAATCGACTTAATGGCACCTAGCAACAACAATTAAAGATTAAAATATAGGACAAAGATAAAAATATAAATGTGTAAAATATTTTTTCTTCCATTATCTTTCTCTCAAGTATCAGTTCTCAAAAGGAAGATTTTTAAAATCTCAGTTTTGAAAACAGATTTTGTGAATTACAAGCTTTTAAGAAGTAGGTTTTGGTTGAAGAAAGTTAGGGCTGTTGTAATTCAGAGACCTGACATTTCAAACCTGTGTGTTCAACCCTCATACATCCCATTTTTTGATCATGGATTTAACTACCAGTTCTAATATGTTGGCATTAAAATGTAGCATGGACTTTGTATTCAGATCTGAATTCAAGTTCTAGGTTAGTCATTTTCTAGAAATGTTATCTGGAGTAATAAATAAACCTCCTTGAGCCTTGGTTTTGTGTCTCTAAAATGGACGTATTAACAGTACTGATCTCGTAGGGTTGACATGAGGATTAAATGAGGAAATATTAACATATAAAACCCATAGCACATTGCTGATGCATTGTAACTACTTAATAACTAGTTGTTATTAAAATAATGATTTCCAAATGTAGCTTGATTGCTCACTTTTACTTTGTTGCCTTATTTCTCACTTAGTACATATTTTTCTAAAGTGACATGGTATTAGCTTTAATTTTTAACATACCCTAAAAGTGTTTCTCTCACTTCCTAACACCCTTCAGACTGACCAATTCATGCAGATAAATCCCTAATCTGCCTCTCCTAGATTTTAATTCCATAACTGCAGCTGTGTCCTATACATTTTGACCTAGCTATCTTGCTGTCACCTTGCTGTGCATAGCTGATATCTTTCCAGCCAAGCTGTTTGCTCCTTGTGGACTTCCTAATTTTCACAATGACTACTTCAGATCTTGTGTATGCAGCCTAAGATTATGCTTTTACCCTTTTTTTGATTTTAGGAAGACTTAAGGAGAAAAGTTTGGGAGTACTGATTGTCTAGTTGACCAAATTTCATAACTTATTAGAATTTCAGTTTCTTTAATTGTAAAATGGGGTTAATCATACTTTCTGGTACTGTAAGGATTAAAATGGGTAAAACTATTTAAAATATAGTGGAAATTTTAGTTATCAATATGATCATCGTTACCACCATTACCAACATCGTTATTCTGTATTTGGGAAAATGCAAGGTATGTATGTATAATATGTCATGTAGAAATGTTTAAAAAAACTTAATTTAGCTCAGAAGTAATTTTGTCTTTTAGGTCAGATGACAAAAATCAAGCAAATGTTTCTAGACAACCAGTGGGTGACCCTCGCTTTGTTCCTCCAGTGTCTCCTCCCGGGGAAGCTGTAAGTTTAAAATGAAAAATTCTTTTTCTTTACTGCATTAAGCTATTATATATTTGAGATTTTTTTATAAAATGGTAATTGTTACATAGGTATAGATATAAATGTAGATACTTCTTAAGAATTAAGGAGTGTTTTTGGTATTTCCTGAGTTAGTTGAAGGAATACCAGCTGGGTCCCTGGCTCAGAGGACAGAGGAGAAGACATTTGGACATTAAGAATGCCTTGCTTGAAACCAAGAGTGGGAAATGACATGAAACCTGTGCTACCACTATTTTTTATTTTTATTTTTTGTCTGCTACTTTTCTGTTTTTAATGCCTGGCTTCCACAGGGCATATTACCAAAGAACTGGAGCTGTGCTCCTGGATAGGCCTCGTTGTCTAAGCAGTTGTTGTTGTTAGGTGCTGTTAAGTTGATTCCGACTCACAGAGACCCTATGCATAACAGAACGAAACACTGCCCGGTCCCGCGCCATCCTCACAATCGTTGCTGTGTTGGAGCCCATGGTTGCAGCCACTGTGTCACTCCATCTCATTGAGGGTCTTCCTCTTTTTCGCTGACCCTCTACTTTACCAAGCATGATGTCCTTCTCCAGGGACTAGTCCCTCCTGACGACGTGTACAAAGTACGTGAGACGAAGTCTCGCCATCTTTGCTTCTAAGGAGCATTCTGGCTATACTTCTTCCAAGACAGATTTGTTTGTTCTTCTGGCAGTCCATGGTATAGTCGGTATTCTTTGCCAACACCATAAGTCAAAGGTGTCAGTTCTTCTTCAGTCTTCTTTTTTTACTGTCCAGCTTTAGCGTGCGTATGAAGTGATTGAAATACCGTGGCTTGAGTCAGGTGCACCTTAGTCCTCAAAGTGACATCTTTGCTTTTTAACACTTTAAAAAGGTCTTTTGCAGCAGATTTGCCTAATGCAATATGTCATTTGGTTTCTTGACTGCTGCTTCCGTACACATTGATTGTGGAGTCAAGTAAAATTAAATTCTTAGACAACTTCAGTCTTTTCTCCATTTATCATGATATTGCTTATTGGTCCAGTTGTGAGGATTTTTGCTTTTTTTAATTTTGAGGTATAATCCATACTGAAGGCTGTAGTCTCTGATGTTTATCAGTAAATGCTTCGAGTCCTCTTTGCTTTCAGCAAGCAAGGTTGTGTCATCTGCATATCGTAGGTTGTTAATAAGTCTTCCTCCAATCCTGATGCCACTTTCTTCTTCATATTGTCTGGCTTCTTGGATTATCTGCTCAGTATACAGATCGAATAAGTATGTTGAAAAGGTACAGCATTGACACACACCTTTTCTGATTATAAGCCATGTACTATCCCCATGTTCTGTTCAAATGACTGCCTCTTGGTCTATGTACAGGTTCCTCATGAGCACAAATAAGTGTTCTGGAATTTCCAGTCTTTGCAGTGTTATCCATAATTTGTTATGATTCACACAGTCGAATGCCTTTGCATAGTCAATAAAGCACGGGTAAACATCTTTCTGGTATTCTCTGCTTTCAGCCAAGATCCATCTGACATCAGCAATGATATCCCTCATTCCATGCCCACTTCTGAATCTGGCTTAAGTTTCTGGCAGTTCCCTGTGGATGTACTGCAGCAAACCCTTTTTAATGATCTTCAAAATTTTACTTGCGTATGATGTTAATGATACTGTTTCATAATGTCCACATTCTGTAGGATCACCTTTCTTTGGAATGGACACAAATATGGATCTCTTCCAGTCGGTTGGCCAGGTACTTGTCTTCCAAATTTCTTTGCATAGACAAGTGAGCATTTCCAGCATAGCGTTCATTTTTTGAAACATCTCAGTTGATATTCTGTCAATTTCTGGAGCCATGTTTTTCACTAATGACTTCAGTGCAGCTTGGACTTTACCTTCAATACTATCAGTTCTTTATCCTGAAATGGTTAAACGTTGACTAATTCTGTTTGGTACAGGGACTCTTTGTATTCCTTCCATCTTCTTTTGATGCTTCCTGTGTCATTCAATATTTTGCCTATAGAATCCTTCAATATTGCAACTTGAGGCTTGAATTTTTTCTTCAGATCTTTCAGCTTGAGAAAGGCTGATGTGTTCTTCCCTTTTGGTTTTCTAACTCCAAGTCTTTGCACATTTTATTATAATACTTTACTTTGTCTTCTCCAGCTGTCCTTTGAGATATTATGTTCGGCTATTTTAGTTTATCATTTCTTCCATTCTCTTTAGTTGTTCTACCTTCAAAAGCAAGTTTCAGAGTCTCTTCTGACATTCATTTCGGTTTTTTCTTTTTTTCTGGTCTTTTTAATGACCTTTTACTTTCTTCATGTATAATGCCCTTATATCATCCCACAACTTGTCTAGTCTTTGTTCATTAATGTTCAGTGTGTCAAATCTGTTTTTGAGATGGTCCCTAAATTCAGGTGAGGTACACTCAAGGTCATACTTTGACTCTCATGGAGTTGTTTTAATTTTCATCAGCCTCAACTTGAACTTGTATATGAGTGATTGATGGTCTGTTCCCTAGTCGCCCCTGGCCCTCTTCTGACTGATGATGTTGAGCTTCTCCATTATGTCTTTCCATAGATATAGCTTGTTTGATTCTTGTGTTTTCTGTCTGGCAAGGTCCACATTTATGGTTGACATTTATGTTGTTGAAAAAGATATTTCCAATGAATAAGTCATTGGTCTTCCAAAATTCTAGTATGCGATAACCAGCGTTGTTTCTATCACCAAGACCATATTTTCCAACTACTGATCCTTCTTCTTTGTTTCCAACTTTTGCATTCCAATCACCAGTAATTATCAATACATCTTGATTGCACATTTGATCAGTTTCAGATTGCAGAAGTAGGTAAAAATCTTCAATTTCTTAATCTTTGGCCTTTGTGGTTGGTGTGTGAATTTGAATAAGTCTTATTACCTAGTCTTCCTTGTAGGCATATGGATATTATCCTATCACTAACAGTGTTGTACTTCAGGGTAGATCTTGAAATGTTCTTTTTGACAATGAATGCAATGCCATTCCTCTGCAATTTGTCATTTTCAGCATAGTAGACCATACAGTTTTCTGATTCAACATGGTTAGTATCAGTGTATTTCAGCTAACTGATACTTAGGATATTGATCTCCATGCATTCCATTTCATTTTTGATAACTTCCAATTTTCCTAGATTCATACTTCATACATTCCACATTATTAATGGCTATTTGCAGCAGTTTCTGATAGTTTTGAGTCATGCCATGTCAGCGAATGAAGGTCCTGAAAGCTTTCTTTATTCCGTCCTCATCATTAAGGTCAACTCTGCTTTGAGGAGGCAGCTCTTACCCGGTCGTATTTTGAATGCCTTCCAATCTGAGGGGCTCATCTTCCAGCACTGTATCAGACAATGTTCTGCTGTTATTCATAAGGTTATCACTGGCCAATTTTTTTAGAAGTAGATTGCTAGGTCCTTTCTCCTAGTCTGTCTTAGACTGCAAGCTTTGCTGAAACCTGTCTACCACAGGTGACCCTGCTAGTATTTTCAGTAACAGTGGCATAGCTTCCAGCATCACAGCACACATAAGCTACCACATTATGACAAACTCACAGATGAGTGGTGGGTCTCAGCAGTAGAATCTGATAATCCCTGGGTTTAGACTGTTTTATGGGAATATTAGTATATTATGGAGTATTGGGATAATGATATACTTTTCTTGCATATCAGCATATACATATATTCCTAAGTAATATATAATATTATTTTACCTGTTTTTAAACTTTTTATGATGTTTTGTTTGATATTTTACAATATATTTGCAATCTGCTTTTTTCTTAACATCATCCCCCTATTGACACACATAGCTCTGGTGCATTCATTTTCACTACTGGTATTATTATGGTATATAAATGTAATATAATTTTTTAAATCCATTTTCCTATTACCAGCCTCCAATTTTTCATTGACAAGGCTGAGATGAACATTCTACTTAAGTCTTCTTGTCCACGTGTGTGAGAATTTCTTGGACTGCACTGTCTAATACAGTAGCACTACCCATGTGTGACTATTTAAATTTAACATTAAATTAAATAAAACTAAGAATTCAGTTCCTCATTTCTACTGACCACATTTCAAATGCCCAGTAGACCACATGTGGATAGTGGCTACTGTACTGGAGAGAACAGGTACAGAACATTTCCATCATTGCAGAAAATTCTTTTGGAAAACACTGATCTAGAGTATGTAAGAATTAAATTGCTGGGCTGAAAATATGTACATCTTTACAATATGTGCCGAATTGTTTTCCAAAGTGGTTTATACCATTGGGTGATTGTATCATCAGTGATGTAGGAGCATTCCTGTTGATCTACATCTTTGCCAACACTTAGTATTGTCAGACTTTTAAATTCTATCCAGTTATGTGGAGGTACAATGGTTAGCTATCTCTCATCATGTTCTAAAACAAACCTTGGTGGCACAATGATTAAGTGCTTGCTGCTAACTGAAAAGTTGGCAGCTCAAAATCACCAGCCGCTCTGCAGGAGAAAAGACCTGGCAATCTGCTTCCTCAAAGATCACAGCCTAGGAAACCCTATGGGCCAGTTCTACCCTGTCCTTTAGGGTCGCTATGAGTCAGAATCGACTTGATGGCCCAAACAACAGTGATAACAACAACATCATGTTCTAATGTATATTAAAAAAACTCATTGCCATCGAGTCAATTCCGACCCATAATGACCCTATAGGACAGGGTAGAAATGCCCTATAGGGTTTCCAAGGAGTGGCTGGTGGATTTAAACTGCCAACCTTTTGGTTAACAGCCATAGCACTTAACCACTGTGCCACCAAGTCTCCAGTGTATATAAGTACATACATATTTGCAATCTCCCGCATTCTATTCCCTTTTTCTTTATAAAAAGGATACAAAAAAATTATTTTCCCCTTTTGCCCTTAATTATATATCTTAAAGAGTTTCCCACCTCAGTACATTTATAGGATCACCACACAATCCCTGTGCGTGTTGCTCAT